TGCGAGCAAGGAGCGTTCCCAGACTAACCCCCAGGGTCGTAGAGTTCTCATTGCCTCTGCGGCCGCCAGCCGTTCCCTGGCTCTCTGTGGGTCCGCCGACAGTGGTGACTTGAAATCCCCGTAGGTGAGAAACGTGAACATGCGGCCATCAGCCGGAGCCCTGGCAGCCCCTGACGATCAGACGGCCATGGGCCGGGAGACGGACCACCTTCCCAGCGCTGTAGCGCAGGCTGACGACGGTTGCCCCCCCAGGGCCACCTGGGCGCAGGATGGGGCGAGAGGGTGCCCAGGATACCCAGAGAGTGGGCCGCCACCTGCTGTGAGCAAGGAGCGCCCCCGAGCCTTCCCCCTGGGTCGTGGAGTTATCATGCTAACCTTTGCGGCCGTCAGCCGTTCCCTGGTTCCTTGCCTCTCTCCCCCTCTCTCTCTCTCTCTCTCTCTCTTTCCATATGAATGGGGCGGCCATCAGCCGCGTGTTCCTGCATGTGCAAGGGCGGGGCGACCATCGGCCGTGTTTTCCCGCAGTCTGACTCGCATTGTTCGCGCGGCTATCGACCGCCCCCTGGCGCTGGACAGTCCCTGTGGACCCCTCTCTCCCTGGCCGGCTGGCGGCGTCCGCTCCCGCCTGCCCACGCCGCGCGCGGGTCTCCATAAGGGCGGGGCGGTCAGCTGTCGTGCGACCCTGCAGCTTGGCTCGCATCGTTTGTACGGCCATCCGTCCCCTGGCGTTGGACTTCCCTGGTGGACGCCTCCTCTCTCGCCGGTCTGGTGATGTCTGTTCCCACCGGCCCGGCCCGCCTTCCGCGCAATGCGCGGCCCCCCCCCCGCGCGGCGTCCACGACGCACGCCCCTGGCCAGCCCTTCAGTTTGCGCTTGCATTCCCTGGGCCCTGGTCTACAGTACTTGCCACAGCTGACTGTGTCCGGCGGCGACTTCGGGGTTCGTGTGCTGCGTTCCGGAGTGGCGCAGCCTTCCTGCAGCTACTGCGCATCCCCCACTTGGCGCCCTGTTACCGCCCGTTTGGCTCGTACCTTGCCGCAGCTGTGGCCCTGGCCTTTGGCGACCTGTGTCGACGTGGTCAGTTCGTACCTGGTCACTATCGCCCACGGTACCTGTGTTCGAATGCGCTTGCTTCGGGCTCCTCGTTCCTGGTAGCGCGCCGCCGGTTGGCCCAGCGGTGGAAGCGCCCCGCTAGGTTGGTGCGTGGTTTGCAGACACAAGCCGATCATGTTCTTTTGGCGTGCAGGGCTTAATTCCATCTTGGCGTTTTGGAGCCATTCACTCGCATGGTGCATCAGCTACCCTGGCCGTTTGCAGTCAGCCCAGCCAGCTCCCCTTCAGCCCGCGGCCCCACCGCGGCTGCTTCTGAGCGCGGGCTCGGCCGCTGTGCTTTTAGGCTTGCGCGTGGCTAATTTGACAGGCCCGTGGCCTGGACCTCTCAGCTCGGCGAGTGCGAATCCGCGTCCGCCCGCAACCGGAAAAGTAACCCCACCAGCCACGCCACTGGCAACAATGCTTTGGTTGACGTTCCTTTTGACCACCCTGGTCTTCGCGCTTCGCGCCGTCCGGGGCCTCGCCTTTGCATTTCTCTTCGCGATTTCGACCGACGTCTCGTTGGCCATGGCCGCCCTGGTGCCCGCGCCGACGTCTGAGGTTCGGTGTCGCATTTTCTCTCTCGGTGTTGTCCCTGGCCGTCGTTGACTCTCCGACGCGTGACGCCTCCGACTGACTTGCTGCTGTGCACACGGCAGTTCCCCTCAGGTCAGCCCCGGCAGCCCCGCCCTGAGGCTTCGGCCGCGCTTAGTTGTCGCCTCGCCCGTCGCTCTGTTGGTGTTTTCCCGCGTTTGTCTTGCCTTTTCCGCCTCGGCCTCTTGCGCGCGCGCTCTGGCAATACTGCGCCCCAGTTCTGCTGTTAATTAGTGTGTGGCGCGCACCCGCTTCGACTTGACACGCCGACGTCGCTTCCGCCCGCGGCCGTTGACTAAAATTATCCCGGCAAAGCAACCTAACAACGATGTGTAGAAACATATCTGAAAACATCCCCCTTAAGATTCATATTAAAATCCAGTTGTCGAATTCTGCTGTTCTCGCAGTCGTAGTCGCATTCGCGATGACAGTCGCCGCGGCAACGGCAGTCACAGCCTCAGCTTCAGCCTGCCTCAGCCTCAGCCTCAGCCTGCCTCAGCCTCAGCCTGCCTCAGCCTCAGCCTCAGCCTGCTTCAGCCTCAGCCTCAGTCTGCCTTCAGCCTCGGCCTCAGCCTCAGCCTTCCTCAGCCTCAGCCTGCATCAGCCCCAGCCTCAGCTCAGCCTCAGCCTGCCTCAGCCTCAGCCTCAGCCTGCCTCAGCCTCAGCCTCAGCCTCAGCTCAGCCTCAGCCTCAGTCTGCCTTCAGCCTCGGCCTCAGCCTCAGCCTGCCTCAGCCTCAGCCTGCCTCGGCCGCAGCATCAGCCTGCCTCAGCATTCAAAATGTGGCCCAGGAATGGAGTTCTGGGAACTAGAAGAACACGAAGTGGCCTACAGTTGGCTCCAGGCATTCAAAATCATGCCCAGGAGTTGAGTTCTAGAACTTGAACACGAAATCGCTTACAGTTGGCTCCGGGCATCCAGAATGTGGCCCGGGAATGGAGTTCTGGGAAATCGAAGAGCACGAAGTGGCCTACAGCTGGCTCCGGGCATCCAAAATGTGGCCCGGGAATGGAGTTCTGGGAAGTCGAAGAGCACGAAGTTGCCTACAGTTGGCTCCGGGCATCCAAAATGTGGCCCGGGAATGGAGTTCTGGGAGCACCAAGGGCGATTTTGCGAGGATGTCCCAAGCGATTTGGGCTTCGGCGGCACCGCCCCGGGTCCCGCCCCGACCCCCCTGTGGAGTCATTTGCTGCTTTCTTTTGAGACCACTAGAAACCTATCAGCAAAAGCTGTTAGGTAAAAAAGTACCCCCACCAACCCATCCAAAAACGATGCCCAGAGGAATTCCCTCGATCAGGGAAGTGGGAAGCACACAGAGGAAGGGTCCCCCAGTGGAGGCCTCTTGGAGCGTCTTGGGTGCCTCGGAGAGCGCTTTTTGGGAACATTTTAGGGGCCTCATGGGCGCTTGTCGGGGCCTCCTGGGCGCCTCTTGGGGCCCTCCTGAAGCGCTCTGTGGAGCTTTGGCAGCGCTCTGTGGGCCATTTTGGAGGACATCGATCAAACAAGCAGCGAGCATTAGTTAGCGCTGCCCCTCGGGAGCCCAAAAACAAGCCTCTTGGGGCGTTTTTGGGGCGCTCTTGGAACACTCTTAGGCGCTTTGTGGGCCGTCTTGGGGTTCGCTTGAGCCTTTCTTGGGGCCCTCTTGGGCCATTTTGGAGCCATATTGGGGCCTCGGATGGCCATCGGAAGCGAAAAGGCGAGAACAGCCAAACACATATATTGTCCTAAGGTTTTGGCCTCTTCGGGGCCTCCTGGGGGAGCTCTCTGGCCACTGGGTACCGTGTTGGAGCGGTAGTGGGGCGTTTCGGAACATCGTGGGAGCGAGCAAGACACATCTTGGGAGATCTTGGGCCATCTTGGAGGTCATCTTGGGCTCTCACAGGCGTTCTCGGACACATCTTAATCAGTGCCCCCCCCCCCCAAGAGGCCAACATGTGGCTAAAGCCTGGGTGAAATCAGTGATTTTGCATTCTCGCCGAGGCCTCTTGGAGCATCTTGGGTGCCTCTGGGGGGTCTTTTGGGGCCTTTTGGGGCTCTCTTGGGAGCCTTTTGGGGGCATCCTGGGGGTCTCTTGGGGCTTCCTGGCCACCTATTGGGGCCCTCTTGGGGCACCCTTGGGAGCCGTGGGGGCCATTTTTGGGCCATCTTGGGTGAGATCGATCACATGGGGGGGGTCTAATTACAATCCCCCCCTCAGGAGGCCATAATGGGACCAACACCATAGTAAAACCAATGATTTCTGTTTCCTCGCCGAGGCCGTTGTGGACGCTCCGACACCTCGTGGAACCCCCTGTCCAGGTCCACGGGGGGGGGGTAGGGGGAGGGGTAAACCCCTCCCCGAAGGGGAAGAAGGAGGGGTGGAAGAGGAAACTCCCTAAACCACCGACGCCCAGAGAACTGGTGGGATTTCGGGGGAAGCTCGGCCTCGACCGCGAAAAGCTTCAAGGAGGCCCAACACAAGTAGGGCCATTCGACGTCCCAAGAACCTCGAACCTCAACGTTCAGGGTGCGCTCGGGAAAGACTTGCTAGTGGAATACCCGCTGTTGCGACGAGAACTCCCCGGGCGGCCCAATGCTTCAACCTTTTTCATACACATTGCAAGAAGCATCTCCGTCCTCAAGGTTCGATCATCCAGGTTCCCACCCTCGATGACGACGACGACGACGACGGACGACGACGACGGACGACCCGCCTTGGGACCGACGACCGACAACGACTGACGACCGACGACGGACAACGACGATTCACAACCGCCGACGACGATGACGACGACGACTCACAACCGACGACGACGATGATGACGACGGACCACGGACGACGATTGACGACCGACGACCGACGACGACCGACGACTAACGACGACGACCGACAACCGTCCACGACGACGACGACGACGGACCACGGACCATGGGCCACGGTCCACAGACCTCGGACCACGGACCATGGACCACGGACCATTGACCACCGACCACGGACGACCCACGACCCACGACCAGCGACAACGACGATGGACGACGGACGACGATGGTGACCGACGACCGACGACCACGACAACGACGTCGACGGACTACGGACCACGGACGACGGCGATGACCGACGACCGACGACGACGTCCGACGACGTCTGACGACGCCTGACGGACGACGTCGGCGGCGACGACGCGGACGACGACGACGACGGCGACAACGACGTCGACGGCGGCGACGACGACGACGACGCGGACGACGACGACGACGACGATGACGACGACGACGACGACGACGACGGCGACGACTTGCGTCGACGTGCTTGCGCCTCCGCGCACGCCGCCACAGGCCGACTGGGGCCCCCCCGCGGAGCCGCGCAGAGGCCGCCCATGGGCGGGCGCGGAGGACACCAGGCCCGCCGACGCCTCCCCGCCCCCTGCAAATGTGTGTGGCCGCTGTTCCGCCACGGTCCTGTCGCTCCTTCGGCGCCTGTTTCATCCCACCGTCTGCCTTGGCCGTCTGCCTGATGCTCTCGCCCTCCCCTCTTTCGGAGTGCCGCTGCACTCTTGGGATGCGCCCATCCTTCTTCTTGCACAGTGCACTCTCCCTCCCCCCCTCGCGTTCCTGCGCGAGTGACCCAGACGATCCCCGATGGGCAGACCCCTGGACCCCCCGCCGCGTGAGTTGGCCCGGCCGCACGCTCGTTCCCGTTCGACTCTCTACGCCGCGCCGTCGCGCGCGTGGCTCGTGCCTGCAACCGTGCTTCGCCTCTTGCTCTCCTTCAGCTCGCGCCTCCGTCGGTCACCAAGGGTTTCGTCCTTCCCTTCTCCTCGGGTCGTCCGTCTTTCCCCTCCCTCTCTCCTCCCAGCGCTGGGTTCGCTCCACCTCCCGGGCGTCGCCATCCCTTCTCTTTCGCTCCTAGGTCGTCCACCTGTGGGTCGGCGTTGCCGAACAATCCCCGAGTCGCGCGGTCGGCATTTGTCTCGGCCGCCTGTTTTTCCCTGCCGCCCAGTGCTATGTTGGACTGTCACGTGCGGAACCGCCCTTGCGGCCTCCCCTCTGTCACTGCGTCGTGCAGGCGCTCTCTCTCTCTCTCTCTCTCTCCTTTGCGCTTACGCTGGCTGGTGCTGCATGTTCGTACATGCCACCGTTTTCACTATGGGCGTATAGCGCCCCCCATCGACAACGCTTGGTGGTAATTCCACTAGCGTCGTTATCGCTAATCTATAGCTGTGTGGAAGCGAACAAAAGTACGTGTGTGTGTTCGCGTGCGTGCCTAGCCCCCGCTTCGGCTGGGCGCCGCCCTGCCCAGCCCACGGCAGTGATGCGTGCACCGGCCCTGGGCCCGGTCGCTCCGCCCGTCCGCGGCCTCTTGCGTGGCTCCCACGCGCCGCTCTCGCGGTCGCCCGGGTCTCGTGGCTTCTTCGGGCCGTATTGGCCACGTCCGGTCCGGCCTCTTCGCGTTTTTCTCCCTCGTGGCTCCCAGCCCGCCTTGCGCTGCGAACGCGCAGCGCCTTCGCTATCGCTGTGTCGCCTGCCCGTCGAGCCAACTCGGCTCCCAGTCCGCCACAGCAACTCACCAGCGCAGCCTCCCCAGCAGCTGCACGGGCTCCCACCAAGGCAATATGGCCGCCGTTGGCCCCGAAGCTCTGGCTCCTCCCGCCTTTCTGGGCGTCGCCCTGCACTGCAGCCGCTGGACTGGCCCTACCCCTGGGTGTGCTCGTGATGCCGCCCCGCTCCCGCTGCCAGGGGCTGCTACACCAGCTTGGAAGAGCTGCGCGCCCCGCTGCGACCTTGCTGCGTGAGTACGGCTTTCCGTCTTAGTTGCCCCCATTCCGCGGCCGTCCCTCTTCTTGTCAATTCCTCGCGCATGCGGGACAATTCGCGATGCCGTGGCCCGGGTAACTTGGACGCGCGTGCGGATTGCCACTGCCGCGCTGCAACGCAACACGTGTGAGTGCATGCGTGTACGTATGCATGCATGCATGCATGCGAGTATGCATGTATGTACGTATGCATGTAGATCTGTAGGTAGGTATACAGGTAGGTCGGTAGGTAGACATGCGTCAGTGTGTCTGTATGTAGGTGTGTATGTTTGTATGCTTGCATACCTTCATGCATGCATGCATTTTTCATGTGTGTATGTATGCATGGATGGATGCATACATTTATGTGTGTTCATGTATGTGTGTCTGAATGTGCGTACATGTGTATGCATGAATGTGTGTATGTGCGTATGTATGCAAATGTGTATGTATACATGCATGCATGCATGAATGAATGTATGAATGTGTGTATGTATGTACGTGTGTATGTATGTAGGTATGCATGCACGCATGCATGTGTATATATACACGCATGCATATATCTACTTGTGTGTGTGAGAGTGAAGATGTGTGTGCGTGTGTGCGTGTGCGTGTGTCTGTGTGTCGCAGCGGCCTGGCTGGAGGAGCGGTCGACGGTCGAAGGTCGACGTTCGAGGTTTCCGGAAGACTTCCGCGGCGTCTTGAGGCCTCCGAGGCCCTCGGCGGGCGCCCGCGCGTCGGCGCCCGCGGGGCGGGCCCGGAGGACGACAGGTGCCCCTTCCCGCGGATGCGTGTGGGTTGGGCGACCCGATCGCGGCCCCCCCCATCGTGAACTGTGTAAATCGGCGTCCGAGCCTTCTGAGAAGGCCCGCCCCTTCTCACTTCCCCCCCGGGCTCGCCGCCGAGGAAAGCTGTGTCGGGTCTTCTGCCACACGGTTGTCATTTGGCATGTGTCTGGTCGTTTTCGGGCCTCGTGGAGCGCCCTCGTGGCCAGATCCAGGTTCGGAGCTTGTTGGACGTTTGGGTGCCCTTCGTGCCTCGCGGGGCGACGTTGGGCCACGAGTTGACCCGAAGTTCTGGTCCCACCAGGAGAGATTTCGGGGGTCGAAGCGGCCCAGTTTGGGCGGAGCGGCTGCATCTCCCCGAGGCTCCACCAAGAGAGCCCCAAGACGGGCTCAGGGATATTTCTGGCCCCGAAGGCCTTTTTTTTATATAATCGATGGTCCCTGGATCGAGGACCGGAAGGAAACATTCATGTTCCCGGACGATTTTGCAAATTTCAACGCCTCCGGCGACTGCTGCCGATCCCTCGGTGGAGTCGCGGCATCCACCCGATCATCCAGTCGCCGCGGGAAGGCCCAGACATCCATCGGCTGGAACAATCGAGACGGCGGGTCTTTCGCACTGTAGAGCCTTTGGAAGCAATTTTCGCGTCCCGTGGCCTTTGGACGCCAATTCTGGATGACGCGCGTTTGTCCGGGGGAAGGGCTCGGGAGGTCTTGGGGGCCAGAGACTAGAAGTGAAGTCTATACAAGTGAAGTCATCGGAGTTCTGGGAGGGTCCTGAAGGAAGGGTCCTCAGCGCAGTTGTCCGAATCACTTTCTTTGCCGGCTTTGCCTTAGGGGGCCTCTCGGCTACGATTGGACGCAGCTCAAAGAATTGCGCCAGAGGTTGCGGGACAGGTGGTACCATCGGTGGCGCAGGGTCTGCGCACGAGGGTGCGCCAAAGCTGGCGCCATACGTAGGATGTGCCGTGGTATGTTGCGTTATGGGCTGCGTCACAGTAGGTCGTGTATGGGCCTTCGCACTTACAACGGCCTGTTATTGGTTGCGCCGTCAGCCGTCGAAGCGTAAGAACAATTGCCTGCCATAGGTTGCGCCATAGCCTGCATTCTCTGCCGCCAAAGCGAATACACATTGACGTTGGACAGGACCAGTTTAGTCCAGTGTTAGTTTAGTCCAGTCAGTCTCGCCTCCCGAGAGAGGGCCACGCCCGAAAACAATTCGCATCGTCTCCGTCCTTGGCCACCAGATGGCAGCAACTTGCAGCCTCCCACCGTACGCCTCATCATCCCCATCCTCGTCTTCCTCGTGCCCCAGTCGGACTCACGTACGGTGGGTGTTTTCGTTTTGTCTGGCGTTGGGGCCCTGTCGTGGCAAGGCAGCGGATGGCGCCCCCGCTGCCCGCGCCGAAAATCATTGGTGGGCTCCGACGCCAGCACATGCGGTCCCAATGCAGTATCTCAGTGATTCCTCCTCGTGTCTCATCCTCCCCCTCCTCCCATGCGGCGATGGCGCGCCGGCGACGCACCGGCGACGCCGGCGAAGGCGTTCGAGGTTGAATTCCGTATGATGGAGCGACGCGGAAGCACCGAGGGACACAGTAGTGCCACATAACCCGATTGAATTCAAGCTTGAACGATCGGGCCGCGATCGATTCAAGGTTGAACGATCGACACGGTGTCAAGAATTTGCGCGCGCCGACGCCGCACGAACCTACCTTTCTCCCATGTGCCTCCTCTGCCGCCCTCGTTCCTATCCTGCGAGCCCAGTCCACACTCGCGGGGGGGGCCTGCGGCACCAAGCACCCGCCCGGCCCGACCCCTCTCCTGGATTTCCGCAGAGGTGGGTGCACGACATGTACCAGGCGCCTTCGGGGGGATGAGCGCTCTTAGGACGGGGCTAGGACGAAGATAAATCCGTTCTAGAGTGTTTTGGAACGCTCTCAGAGCGTGTCGGAACGCTCTGAGAAAGCCGCGGCGCCCGACATATATCTCACAGAGATTCTCGATTCATGTTCATTTTGGTTCACCCAAAAGTGGGTCCAGCGGAAAGAAGGTGCCGCAATAGATTAGGTGCAATATATTTGTGGCGTTGCTCTAGATTTGGGGCGTGCAATAAGTTCCGGTGCGCAAAAGTTAGGGTTTTTGCAGGCAATGCATTTGTGGCAATACAATGCAAGACAACTCTCTGGCGCAAAACGTCCGCATTACAATTGCTCCAAATATATTGCACCACCCCCTTTCAGCTGGACTCCCTTCATGGACCAACCGAACTCACTCGAATTAATCCTCATCCTGGCCTCGTCTTGGCTCCCGCGCGCGTCCGCGGGGGGCGCACCTCACACAGCACCGACTGCGTCAGTCCTGGCGTGTCTCTGGGGTGGGTGAGGTACGCATGCACGTCGGTCGTTGAAAGTAGGTACTCGTTCCCGCTCTACTTCTAGCGCCTTCCTGCTTCAAAAATTGATATGCTTTTGCTGCGTGTTGTTATTATCGGCAAGTTTTTGGACCTAATCTACTTTAGCCTCCTTCCTATTTGATGTGTTTTACCTTCTTCTTCTTCTTCTTCCGACCGACGTATATGAGTGACCTCTTGTTCTGCTCGTCCTCTTCCTCCGCCGTTTCTCAGAGGAGGATAGGGTACCGATACCGCTGCCCTCGCCTCGGCTTTTCCTTCTTGGGTCTCCTGGGAGACCCTCATCGCCACGGCTGGACTCGCCTCGAGATTCTGCTCAGAGCCGACCCCAGGAGAGGTCCGGGGAGTAGCCGTATGGGCACCTCTTGGTTTAAAAATTGTTGTTCGCCCCGACAGGTTGGGAAAAGAGCCGTCGACCCGCCTCGCACACCCTGCATACCGTGGCCGCCAGGCCCAAAGTGTGCCTGTGTTCCCTGGGGTTCCCGCTTCGTGTCTTCGACGGATGGCGATTACATTTCGCGGTCGCCAGGCCCAAAGCAGGGCCCGTCTGATTCCTCTCGCTTCGCGGGGTGCACGTCCGGAGCACGTGCAGTCCAGGCGTTGTGGGGCTTGGTGGAAGCCTCTTTGAGGCCTTTTGGAGGCCTCTTGTGGGCTTCTTGGGGCCTCTTGGGGGCATCTTGAGCCGTCTTGCGGCGCTCTTGAGCCGTTTGGCTCCTTCGGAGGCCATCGTGTGGGCCTCTCGCAGCCGCCGTGGGGGTCTCTTGGGGTCCTCTTGGGCCGTCTTGGGGGCCTCTTGGACCGTCCTGGGGGCCTCTTTGGGCTGTCTTGGGGCCCTCGTGGGCCGTCTTGGGGTCCTCTCGGGGGCCTCCAGGGCCGTCCTGGGACCATTTTGGAGGCTGCTTGGGACGTCATGGACCTCCAAGGATAGAAAAATACGAGAACGCTAGAATCCTTCAAAGCCGACGGAACAAAAATAATAATTTTGGCTTTGGAGGCGCTCTTGGGAGTCCTCTTGGAGCCCTCTGGGGCCGTCTTGGGGGCCGCATGGGCCCTCTTGGGGCCATCTTGGGCGGTCTTGGGGCCGTCTTGGGCCGTCGTGGGGCCCTTTTGGAGTCTTAAGGCCCAAGAGGCCGAATCTGGTGGTTTGCCATAGGTTGAGCCCCAGAATGAGGGCTTCCACTTTTTGTACGGCGTTGTGGCTCGGCTCCAGGGGGAGGGCGGCTCGGGGGGAAGGCACAATAATGTAACACAATCCAACATGTGCAAATTATGCTGTAATGGGATACAACATACAAGTGTGCAGTCATTGGGTACACTGGATACGTAGGATTACAGCATCCGCGGACCTGCCTCCGGCAACACGTCACTTCTGGACGTGGATTCCTTTCGCTTCGCGGGGTGCACGTCCGGAGCACGTACAGTCACGTCGTCGTGGGGCCTCTTGGGAGCCTCTTGGGGACCTCCTGGAGGCCTCCCGGGAGTTTCTGTTGGCCTCTTGGGGGCTTCTTTGGGGCCTTTCCCCCCCTTCTTTCCTTTTCGTACACCCTCCCCATCTTCCCTTCCAGCGCCGGCTCTAATCATGGGCGCCGCATTGACCAACTTCCACCTGGCTGGCGCTGCGCCGCAGTTCACCAAGAGGGGGGAAAATAACATTACATTCCAGTCGCTGTTTGGCCTTTGGGGAGGGTTTTCGTTGCCTTTTGGAGGCTTCTGAGGGGGATGTCTTGGAGGCTTTTTGGGGGCCTCTTGGGGCCTCTTGGGGGCGTCTTGGGCCGTCTTGGGGCGCTTCTGCGCCGTTTTGCACCCTCGGAGGCTGTCTTGGGGGCCCCTCGCGGCCGCATTGGAGCCCTCTTGGGGTCCTCTTGGGCTGTTTTCGCGGCCTCTTGGACCGTCTTGGGGGCCTCTTTGGGGGCTTTTGGGGTTGTTCTGCGGCGACTATGGTCGCTGCTTGGGCCGTCGTGGATTTTCGAAAATCGGCTAAGGCGAGAGCGCTAACATTTTGCAAAAACCATAGGAAAACAATGATTTCGGCCTCTGGAGGCGCAGTTGTGGGCGCTCTTGGGGCCCTCTTGGGCCGTCCCTGGGGCTCTTGAGGCCCTCTTGGGGCCGTTTTGGGGGCCTCATGGGCCCTCTTGGGGCCATATTGGGCCGTCTTGGGCCGCCTTGGGGCCATACTGGGCCATCTTGAGGCCCTCTTGGAGCCCCAAGAGGCCCAAGAGGCCGAATTCGTTGATTCCCCAATGGGTTTTTGAATGTTTTTAGGGCCCCAGAAGGGGGCGACCATTTTGGTACGGCGCTGTGGCGCGGCTCCCAGAGGGGGGGTTATGGGGGGGAAACAGAATAATGTAACACAATACAATATGTTGCAATTCTGGAATCTTTGGATACACTGGATACGTTGCATTAAGGCGTTCGCCGAAAAACGCTGCCGCTCAGCACGTCACCTCCGGACGTGGATCGTTTGGCTTACGCCGCACCGCCGACCCCTTGGGGGAGAGTCTTTGTTGCGGTTTCTGGATGTTGTGTGACTGGTGGTGCATGTATATCGAAGACGCCTACGGCGAATCACCGCCGCCCCCTGCCTTTTTACAAACGCTAGTGTGGCCGAGCGTCGGGTTAGAGCTTGGCAAAGCTATCAGACCATGTGTCCCCCCAGCCGTCACCGTAACCATTTTGGCTCAAGTACTACATCTGCTGGGGCAGCTGGCCAGTTCAGCGTGTGGCCCGTCCTCGCAAGCCGCGCTTCACCAGAGGGCGGGACTTTTTTTCGGCGACACGACATATTCTTTTTTAGTGTGGCAGAAAGTGGCCTTCTCCGCTCCCTCTTCTTGTCACCATGGGAGGTCGCAAGACCAACCGTTCTCGATCCTCTGATGAGCCAGAACCTCGTGGAGGTGGACGTCGCCACCGCGCCGGCTCCGTCATCTCGGAGCCGCTCCTCTCCCCAGGCCCCACCACCAGAAGACCTTCAAAGGAGCCCACAGGTACCGAAAGCATCGTCGACCGCCTCATCGGAAGCATGGAGATGCGTTTGCAGGCTGTCGCAAACCAGGGACACGATGTGCAGGCCATTCGTGGAGCTTACAATCCGTCCATGGGAAGATGTTCGCAACTTGCAGATCCGATGACACTGATGGGCGGAGTTTCTGTCCAACGGGCGAGATCCACAGCGTTGTTCCTGCATCGGTCCGTGACATGGACGTTCGCATGCTGTACATACAGAATGGCATGCCAAGCTGACCATGTGCTAATGGTGGAGATAACATGGATATCGATGCAGCCTCTTCGATTCTCAAAAGAATGACTGGCAAGATCGAGGATCCGATGGGGGGCCTCATCTCACGGCAAGGGCTTGCGCAAACCATATCTGCGACATGTGCCCACCGCCGACGGCAGGTTCTGCTCCTCGCCCTTCTGCTCGCGCTTTTTCCCCTCCCGACCATGGACAGTTGCATGATCAAATTTGCGGACTGGTGCGCATGATGAAAGGCCTCCACGTGATTGGAGAGTCCTGCCGCAACGCGTGTGCGCCAAGTACCGAATGCAACAACAAAAGTGGTTAGAGCCTACGGCATGACATGAGCAAGAAGGTGGCGCTGCTCCTCGAGACCCCGATGGCTGCTGGCACGTTCACGGACAATTCCTTAGCCCGCAACCGCGCGTGGGACATCCCCGACGCGCTCAACCCTTCGTTTATGCCGCGCTAAGGTTTCGCCGCGATATGAATGTGAACAGCCGCCAACTCTGTTTTATTGCCGGGGAGGATTAGGAATCAAATCGCCGACCGTGTCCGCGAGGAAGGATTGGAAGTCGGATCATCCGGGTTAGGCGGCAGCGCCCATGCGCTCCGCGGCCCGCGCGACCCGGTGAAGGTCGCAGCTGTGGCCGTGGACGACCAAGGGGCCGTCTCCCGATGCCTCGACCGCGACGCCCTGCTCGAGTTTGGGCTCTCGCAGCGTGCAGCTATGATTTAAAACGCAGCTCAGGCGCAGCTCCGGCGGCCCTTTCGCCGACGCGGACTGCGCCGACCGTCTGGCAGACCCCCCCCCCTCCCCCCCCCCTGCCTGGGTCGAATATATGTGCATTGGATTGCTCCTTCCCCGTCTTCCCGCTACATTCCCGCGCTTGAAACTGCCGGGCGCTGATGGCCTCCGCGAGAACTTCGAGAAAGATGGTCGCTTCCCGCTACCCCTTGATACATTAACATGGCTATACCATATTACGCTGCTGCGACGCAAGATACTCGCGGCCGCGCTGGCGACGCGAATGAGTTGGAGCAGGGGCTCCGCTCGCGCAAGTTCGGCTTCTCTTTCCTGGGGTCCAACCGCGAGGGCGGGGCCGTCGCCTCTCCGTCTCCGCGCCCTGCCAGTCCGTTTGCCGGAATGCGGCGTGACGCATTCTCTTGGGGCCGCATTCTCAACGGCGTTTTCCGTGCCCATCGGCTGCGTG